ATGTTTTGTGTTTTTAAATATCTAATAATACAGAATAAAAACAGGTTTGTTCCTAAGTTGTTAGTTATAGAAGAGCAGAGGTTCATCCCTTTATGCTAAAATGTTGCTAATAGGAAAGTTCTGCACCTTATCTTTGAAGAACCTTCAGAATTTATTAAGAAAAGAAAGGAAAAAAGAAAAGTTGTTCAAGAGTCTTTAAAAATACAGAAAAGACTGTCTCCTTTTAAACGRGGTGGCTCAAGACTTTTGCACAATAATCTTTACACACGTAGTTCTCACCCCGAGCTGTAGCTGTCTCCCCTTCATGCCAGGCCARACAGTGAAACGCTGTCGGTGCAATACCAACAGGGAAGCTGATTTCTGTCCCCTGAACTGTGGTTCGTGTGTCGCTCAACGACACATCCCGCAAAATCCGAGGCCTCAAACGTATCCTAAGTGCAAAAATACAAACAATACATGAGAGGACGTGACAAGGATTCAAGGAAGTTTTGTCATTCGCAACACACATACATGTGGTGGAATGACATTTTGGACCCAAGGTCCCGGTCTATCCAGAAATATAGACAAAACAAATAAATATATTCAAATATTACAAATTACAAACATTTACAACAAAAAAAATCAGTTAAACAGTGAGTAAAATAAACATTTTTAATCAYGAGACCTTGGTTTTCACAGTGTTATACAATTTGTATTGTTTCACAAATATACAGTCAATCACTTCACTCTTCTCTGAAAACTACAGGGATACCTGTCAGGGAACATAAACATATTTTAAAAAGTCTACATTTACACATGCAGCTGTAGACTCAGTCATTCAGAGCATTTAATCCTGCAAGTTCAATTATACAACACTGAACTGAATAACATCTCCCAAAGTGAAAACAAAAATAAAATGCGAAACACTCAATTTTCTTGGCTGAGTGTTAGTGTGAGAAACTAWGGCTTATTGACAGTGCTGGCTCTAGCCATTTTGGTGCCCTGGGCAAGTTGAAGCGCAACACCCCCCCCACCCGAACTACGTCCCACGCACCCCAATTTGATTCCCTAAAAACAAGTTTGACAGTGTAAGGTACTATGGTAAACTTAAATTTATTTGCTTTCCCAGAAAGCAAATAAATAACAACATACTGTACATGTCAACTTGTACAGATTGTCCGTAAATTATAAGGATTTTATGTCATTTTGCAGGTATACGGACGTATAGAGCAATCTTACGGATTTTTTTCCAAATCTTACAGATTTTTTCAAAACCTCATTTTCAAATTTGTCTAACATGTCAGAGCCAACATGATAGGTTGATTAAAAAAATAGATAACATTAAATAGCCATCTTACAACCTGTTTTGCCGGTAGAAATAAGTTTTGAACTTCGTTATAGTTTTTTAAGACGAAGCTGATTGAAAGGAGTGCTTAGCAGAGTTACAACCAGAGATTACAAATAATTACTTTTTTCTTCTGCAGTTCGGCGCCCCCTCCAGTAGATGGCGCTCTAGGYGACCGCCTAGTTTGCATATGCCAAGAGCCGGCTCTGCTTAYTGACTGATACTGAATTGGTTTGCCTCAGTACCTTTCAGTGAGCTTGTAAGAAAACTGTTACGTGTGTTCGTTTACCACTTTATGGGCTTGAACCAAACATAAAATGTACCAATACATGGATAAGAGTTTATACAACACCACACAGAGCAGCTCTGGCTAAAGGCAGTTTATTCAGTCTGCGTTCAAACCTTGTTTTCCGGAAGTCAGTTTGATATAAGAAAATCTTCAGGACATGACTCCGCCTATTTTATTGCATCATCAGAATGGTCCCCTAACACTGCTGGAGTCATATCCTCACACAATATTCTCTTGCCTAATGGTTCAGTTATGTGTTGAATCTCTGTTCTCATAATAAAAAGCATATACAGTGCCATGTGTAGTATAATTAAAATCTGTCTATAAGCAAATCCCATTAAATTTTAATTAAAATCTGTCTATTAGCAAATCCCAATAAATTTCTTCAAGCTAATTAAATGATATAAGTGCCTGCCATACAGGAAACTGTCATATATCCACTTCCTCAGCAACGAAGTATTCATCTACTTCATGTAGCCATCCACACATGTTAATCCCTGAGCATTAGCTGCCACCATGCCAGTCACTTCAATCAACTTTAACTCAGTATTTGTAAAATTAACTGAATTTATGTGTGATAAGAAGGCTCATCTGTGGGGAGTGACTCCTACAGGTACGCAGGCTGTAAATGCACATCCAATGACTACTTTCTGCAAATTTCGATAAAAACTAACCAGTGGTTTATGAGCTATTTTGCTAACATGACACACAAACGAACACAAGTTAAAATATTATCACCCCTTTACCTTCAGTGGCAATATTCACTAGTGAAGCTGTCAGTTTTTATCTGAAGAACAATGTGCAAATTGCAAAATATAAAACAAGATGTCAATATGTTAATATTTTCTGTAATATAAAGCTTTATTTTATGGAAACAAACTAGAAAAATTACATTTCTTTAAATGTTAGACATTTTTGCTTTTTATTTTCACAATATTTTTATTTTGAAATTACAAACATACTGTTTTCTTTTTTTTAGATATATTACAATCTAAAAATCAGTTTGTTACACAGAATAAAAAACAGCAGATGAGYCGTCAAAGCAACTGTATATGTATTTGAAACAAAGTAACAACAGGATGTTTAAACAGTCCCAGGCAGAGGTTGTTTGAATTTCAGGTCTGTTATTTTTATCCTCCTGAAATTTGTCACAGTGTTCTTAAACAGCATAACTAAAGATTTTTCTGTTCCAAAACAGCCYTTGCTTGTGCTCCCAGGTGTGTGTAATAATGGCACACATCACCAAGCAGAACTAAGGTCTCTTTGAGTCTGAAGTTTTCTTCTAATGGCCCAGAAAACACATTTATTTCAACAATAAAACCTGTTTAGTTTCTTGTATCTCCTTCATCCTGTGACAGTTGAACTGAAGATGCTGAAGTGTTTCATCTTGTGGGACGGTTCTTAGTTTTGACCAAACAGCTCTGCTGATCTGTGGCTCTGACGTGGAGTCTGTTGACAGAGTCCAAGAGTCTTCACAGTTTCCAGTGAATATTCAAAGGAATTGGTTTTTGTCTTATATCCAGGTGAAGATGTTAATCATGTACATAATATGGACTCTAGACTTTGCTCTGTCTTTTCACACAGGCCTGTTTGCCTCTGGAACCCACAAATGTTTGAATAGGCAAAWGCMTTTTAATAAAACTTTAAAAACTGAACGCTTACGTTTGGTGCTCTAAGTAATCTTTTCCATCTTTTCTAATTTCATACAATTTTTTTTGTGACTTCAGTTTGTTCCCCACATACATGTAGTTTGACACATAAAGTACTCAACATGACTAGAGTCTTTTGTTGATGAAATAAAAGCTTGGAAACAAAGACTTGTAACTTTATTAAGATAGGATTTATAATTTGCATATTTTTATCCAATTTCTCCACTTAAAGTGCCAGTCAGAGGAGGAGTTATTGGTTATCAGTCCCATGGAATGACTTCAGACTGTCCCGACAGTGCCCCCTAGTGGGTAAATGTATCAATGACACTGAATGTGTAAATAACAAAACCATATTTTAATAGATTTTTTTGTCTGGGGTGGGTGGGGTGGGGGCATGGCTTTCTTGCTGTTTTCTTGCTGCCCGTGCCTGGTCTTGGTCCTGGGTCTCCCGCTCTCTGGTTCGGCGCTCTGCCCATTGCCCTACGTTGGACCTGCAACAATGGTCTACTTTATCGTAGCCCATGTCWTTTTCTCTAAAATTAACCTTAGTGGCTTTATGCCTCCTACTAACCAGCCRGTTTGGACGTTATCAGTCCATTCTATGGAACGGAGAACCCACTGCRGCACAGTCGGGACAGTCTGAAGCCATTCTATGGGACTGATAAYGACTAATAACGTCCATTTAATGGATGATAACATCCGAAGCGGCTGGTTCCAACCCTCACCTATGGTCATGAGGAGTGGATCATGACTGAAAGAACAAGCAGCTGAAATGAACTTCCTTTGTAGGGTGGCSAGGCTCAGCTTTAGAGACAGGGTGAGGAGCTCAGAGTAGACCCGCTGCTCCTCCACATCGACTGGAGTCAGTTGAGGTAGTTTGGGAATCTGATTAGGATGTCTCCTGGATGCCTCCTTTTAGAGGTATTTCCGGCATGTCCCATTGGTAGGAGGCCCAGGGAAAGACCAAGGACTTGCTGGAGGGGTTGTGTATCCTCCCTGCCTTCAGACTTCAGGGTCCTCCAGGACGAGCTGGAAAGTGTTGGTGGGGAAAGAGACGCCTGAGTTTCTCTTCTGGACCTGCTGCCTTCTCTAACAGACGATGAGCGGCAGAAGATGGAGATTTTAATAAAATCACCTGATAAACATTTTTTGATTACTTAAATTGTTTTGGTTGAATCAGTCACAGCAGTCAACAAACCCCACAAGTATCCTAAAACAAATGTGTTGTAGTGAAACACCTGAGTGACTGTAGATGCAAGAAAAATGATTCTGTTGGGGCCTTGTGTATGAAAGCTATAAGAACAAACAGTTTGTGTACACCATGTTCCACACACATATACAGCTGCACAAAGTCAGGGGTGATTGTGGAATGATGGCAGTTTTGGAGGTCCTGGAGAACATTGCCATTAGAAGAAGTTGGAGGGAGCATGTTCAGGGATCACATAGCGGAACATGATGATGCCTGATTTATTTTCTGATTTAAAGTCTCAGGGCCGTTCTTTTTGAAGCCCCGCGCTGCACTGGAGGAGCTGTAAGTGGTGCCAGGTCCTCACAACGCTGAGGTTCCTTGTAACTCGAGCCTTTCAGAGGGAGCTGGCTGACAGTTTGAAGTCTTTCACAGTTGTTTTTGTCACATCGTGCCAGTCGTATGAGACGGCTTCATCCGTATGATGGCCTGTATCAAATTCCACTCCACGAGGCTTGAAACACTTGCAACACAGAAACAATACCCAGCTCGTTCCTTGACATCATCTTTGATGTCAAACCACGGTTTTAAGTGTTAAGCTAAGGACCAGACTTCAGTTTCTTTTGCTTTACCTTTGACACCTTCTATCACTCATTGAAGTTCACTCAAAATGTTTACGTTTTGTTTCTAACCCCACAGAAGGACTTTCAAATAGAAAGTTACTCCCTGCCTCCACTTCTGATAATAATACATATATTTCATATTCAATAGTACCAGCTGTTTGATTTCTGTTTTGAAACATTTTCTTTGTTATGTTTCTTATAACTTGTGCTTATGTGGCCTGTGGCTTTTCTTAAAGGGACCCACAATTAGTTGTAACATTAAACTTTATTTGATAAACATTTATTTTAACTGTAAAATAAAGACGCTAAAAATATTGTAGCTGTTTAGTTTTGTAAATTTTTTGAAATATATTTTAACACGGATGGAGCCATTTTATTTTCACGCAAAGCATTCTGGGTAAATGATGACATCAACTAGGTCATCGGTGCTAGCGAGCTATATCCACCCTGAAGGTTAATCTTGGACATTATCTGATGATCGACTCTTTTAAATGAAACCAGAGAGCGTTGACAGAGAGGAGAAGGTAGAAATGACTCAGCCTGGAACTGAAAATATGGATGGAGGACAACAGAGCTGCTTCATGGAAGAAGAACCTCAGCTTAGCCTGTTAGCTTTAGCACTAGCCCCAATGCTATATTATCTATGCATTAGCTTGGTGATAGCGCAACAAACAAACAAGCTAAACTGAGGTCCTCCATCCATATTTTCAGTTCCAGGCTGAGT